TTCCTATAGTCAATGGAAAATGGATCCTCCAGCTACAACAGGCAGAGGTGCAGGCCTGTGACCAGGTGTGCCGCACAGACCAGCATCTTCTGCCCACACCAAAGCTCTCCGGTGCTCCTTGACAGGTGGGTGTGCAGAGTTGCTCACTCTGCCTGCTGGGAGCTCTCGCTGGGCTTGACACAGCTGCACAGTGCCATCTCCCTCCTATCACCTGTATCTGCTCTGATCCTCTCTGAGAAGGAGACTGAGGTTAGCTGGGGAGCACTCAGAAGGGGTGATGCTGTGGAAAAGAGAAGGGAAAGAATATGAGGTAAAGCCTTTTTGAGCCTCAACCCTGAGCATTAGGGAATTGCCAGTCAGAGGAGCAGCCTGCAGACGTGTGTACATAGATCATGTGCATGGTTCCTACTGTCCAGACTCAGGAACTGGCCAAGCCTGTGGGCCCTGCATGCCCAGTGGCATTAGCTGATGCCAGCTGACCATAGCCATACTCAGAAGAAGTCCTTTTGTGGCTCCTGTGAGACTCTCCACCCTCGAAAGTAAAACTGGGAAGAGGCACAGCCTGGGGGGGCATGTTTGGCTGTACCCAAAGGCAGGTTGGCTGGCAGATGTCTCACCTGTGGGTCTGAGCTGCAGCAGTACTGGGTGACCCTCCCACAGCCAGCGTTGGGGGTCAGGCTGCTGGAGGGCTGATAAAAGGAGTGGGTTCGCTGGCAGACAGCCTCAGAGCCTGGAAAAAGCCCTCCCCCTCCTTATCTCAGTGCTGGCACAGGACAGCACTCCCAGCCTGCCTCTCTACCCTGTTTCCCCACAGTGGACTTGAGCCAGCAGTGTCACCTCCGCCCCTCCTGCCACTGGGTGCTGCAGGAGGAGAGGGCTCTGGCACGGCCAGGCCAGGCTTCCTGCCCAGTTTGCTGCCTTGCAGAGCCTGTGCCATTGTTACACACACATACACACACACACAAATACACAAACACTCCCCTTGCATGAACAGGCCTGTGGCAGAAATGGGTGAGTTAGTCAGGAGGGGTTGAATCACAGGGGAATGAGTCAGCAGGAAGCAGAAGGCAGGTGCTTGTCCAGGACAGGGCTTTAAGAGAGCCCAAGGGTCTGGCAGCTTATGCCAGGTCCCTGGGAGGTGGGGTGAGGGTGCCGAAGGAGAACTGGGAAAGCCACAGGGCTTAGCAGGTGGAGGCAATGCCTGTGGCTTGGGAACAGGCCGGAATCTTAGCTACATGCTAAACCTATTCTCTGGCCACATCTCCAGCTGTGGGTATGCTGCTATCCTGGAAAGGCTTGGGGCATCCTTAGTGCTGAGGCTTTCCCAGGAGGTACCAGAGATAAGCACTGCAAGAGAGAAGTGCAGCAACCAGGTATCCCTGCCTCCAGGGCATGGGGTGGATCTTCATCCCCTTGCAGGCCGTGGGGTGTCCAGCCAGCTCTGGGCAAGCTGAGCAGGTCTCTGTACTGGTCAGATCCTGCCCAGTAACCTTCACATCTTGTCTGAGAGAGCAAGTGCAGGATGGAAAATGAGCGATATCTGCTGGAGCAGAGAATGATGAACAGATAGCTCTGGATTGAGTGAACACAGCATGGAGGGAGAGCTGGGATGCAGATGATGTGCTGGAGATTTGAGGACGTGGTTTGTTGTTGGCTCCAAAATCCCTTGTGTAATCTGGGCTCTGCTGCAGACCCTTGAGAGTACTGCAGGGGTCACAGTTGGCTGCTTCCCTCATCCAAGGGCCTGCTCTGGGCTGTTGTGTTTCCATCTAGCCCAGCTGGTCTCTGCAGCGTTGGACTCCTAATTGTCCTGCTCGTCTCTCCTGAGGAGAGGTCTCTCGCAGGGAGGCAGGCTTGGTATCAGTGCTACAGGGGCAAAACCAAAGCACTCTCTGTCTAGGGCCAGACTTCTTGGAACAGCTGACTGGGGCTCCTGTCTCAGGATCACCTAGGTGTGTTGCAGCAGGCACTGGTATTGCTACCAGCCAAAGCAAGGATCAGATACTTGAACAAAAGCAGCCCCCACTAATCTCAGTGTTGAGGCAAGACTCTTTTTTCAGCATCCTCCAGGTGTGCAGGTGCAGGTACCTCTTGTCCTTCCTAGAGGTACTCCTGGCAGGAGGGAACCCAGCAGGCTCCAGCAGTCTCCAGAGATGAGCTCTGGCTTCTTGTGTGCTGCCATGGGCAGAGGCTGAAAGTGATGGGCTAGTGCAGCCAGACAGAGGGGAGGCAGCAAGGTGGGCTCTCACTGCTGCTGGAAGCTGTGGATTTGCAGTGAAGCTGGAGCTGGGCTCTCTCGGGAAGTGCCCAGGGACAGGATGAGAGGCAATAGCACATGAGGGAAATTCCAATTAGATATTAGGAAAAATATTTCCCTGCAAGGCAGTTAGACTCTGGAGTAGGGCCCAGAGAAGGGAATCAATCTACGCATTCGGTGACTTTCAGCCCTTGCCAGGGGCAAACCCCAAGCAATTTGCTTGAGCTTGACCCTGCTGTTAGCAGGATTGGACCAAAACCCTCTGAGGGCCCTTCCCACCATTGTTGTTCCTCAGTTCTGCAGTTCTCGGAGTGCTTGGCAATGTCACATCTCGTGGCCTATTGGACTGACTGGCTTGGAGGGAAACGGAGGAGTCAGGGTGTTGTTCTGTCCTATCTTGGTCTCATCCACACAGTATTAACTGTACCAGGAGATGGAGGCACTGCCTTAGCAGCATTGCTCAGCTCATTGACTTGTCCCAGCCTATCTTAGCTGGAGCACCCATCTCTCTGAAGGTCTGCATTACTTCCTCCCCACGTGAGCACAAGAAGCATGTGGGCAGTGAAGCACAGTGTAAATCATGCTCCCTGCTCTGCTGGCAGCACAGAGCCATGATCTGTGGGGGGGTGCTGATGTTGTTGGAAGGCTGGTGAGGATGCTGGCCCCCAGCCCTCCAGCTGGATGGGCTCCAGGTTTATCTTCCCCATGATGCCTGTCCCAGAGACAGTGGTGATTGGAAGGGAAGTCACCAGTAGCCTTTTTAGAGGTTCCAGCTGCCTGACCATCCTCAGCAGATGGAGGATGAGATGGGCCCAAAGGACTGTCTGGAAAGAATTATTTGCTCCCAGTATTTTCTGTTTCTTTGCCAACCTTTTATTCTCACGGTTGCTCTTTTCCTGATCCTGTCCTTCTGCAAGAAGGCTGCTGGCAGTCTTATCAGCCTTGTGTTCAGAAACGGTCTCACTCTGCGATTTATTGTATCTCCAAGCTTTGACCCCGGTCTGATGCTGCAGAAGCCTGTGTCTGGTGTGTCAGTGCTCAGAGGGTGTTTACAGTGTTTGCCCCATCCCGTCTGCAAGAGTAATGAACCAGAGCAAAGCGGTCTGCTCGTAGCCATGGTGCCTGGGTCAAGCTGGCCTGCAGCAGGAGCTACGTCTGCTCTCTCATCTGGCAGAGGCTGGGTGGATGTCCAGGCTCCCCAGATGCTTTTATATGGATTTTCAATGTCTAGGACATTGCCATGAAGCTTTGTTAGTCCCCAGATCCCTTCTCAAGTTACTTCTTTCAGCCTTTCCCTCGGGCTCATTGACCCTGGGCTGCGATGGCTCTCACTTCCTCATCAGTCCACTTGTTACTCAGTAATGCTCTGGACATTCTGGTATCATTTGGATATCCCTATTACAACACCCATGAGTATTGAGAGCAGCAGGATCTGGTGGTCTGGGCCAAGAGGCCCCTGAGGTCTGTTCCCAGCTGCAGGTACAAGTGCTACCCGGCTGGAGATGAACTGGTTTCTGGTAGCACTTGGAGAGCTCTCAGGTACCTCACAGGCTCTGTCTGCCTAGCAGGGTCAGGTCTCGAGGGACATCTGTGTCCTCAACAGCATGGCTGCCACCAGAGTTGAAGGCGTTTTGGACCCAGCGTCCTTGGGCTGGTTTATGAGGTCTCTGAGCTTTGTGTGTTCCCACAGAAGCAGCAGAGCAAAACATGGGTGCAACAGTGGCAGCAGGCAGAGTTTGCCCAGGGTTCTTGCAGAGACTGATGTGGGGGCTCATGCCCTGCACACAAGGGTTGTCTGGGAATGCAGCTGCCTCTTGAGCCTGTCCCTGTTCACTGTTGCTTCCATGAAGATGGAGGATGCTGATATGCCAGTGCCCCAGTCCCTACAGGTTGCACGCGCCAGATAGCCCCAAGGGCACGTCCTCTCCAGCCTCTTCCTGGTTTGAACCAGTTGAGGTTTGGCTACCTCTCCATCTCCATGCAACACCCAGGTGCCAGGTGGATTTCCCCTTCCATCCAGAGGGCATCCCTGGCCATGTGCATTGCTCAGAGCCCTGGCAGCCCTACAGGAACCCCTGTGGAGGGGGTGGCAGGTGCACTGGGCAGACGGCTCTGCTGTCAGTGGGACCCCATGGGTGGTTCAGTGTGTGTGGACTAGGAGGTTTGCCAGTTTCACAGGATGTAATAGGAGCTAGACTGTGTCTCCCACTGCCCTGTGTATGGATATGCCTGCAGTCAGACATGACAGTCCCTCCTACCCCCTTGTTTCCCTTCTAAGGGGCTTGTGCTCTCATGTGTTTGACTTCATTACGGGCAACAGTATGAGTGTTTACAGATGAAAACTGTGACACCCTTTTCCTAATTCCAGCAGGGTGTTTCTCACCTGCAGTCCTAAAGGAAGGAGAGGCTTTCCTTTTCCGTGACAAGGAGCAGGACATTGAATTCATAGCACAAATCCTCCTTCCCTGCTGTAGCCCTGGTTGCATCCAGCTCTTTACAATCAAAGATGGATAAAGCCTCGCCTTTATGGCCCGAATCCCTGCCCAGCCCATGTCATTGCTCTGGCCTGGGCTCGACCTGAGCTTTTCTAAATCGCTGCTGGATAAGGGTGAGTTGGGTGGGTGTGCACAGCCGTGTGTGTGTGTTTGCATGTGGTATCTCCTCCCCCTGTGCCACATACACATCTAGCACAGGGAGTGGAAAAGATGCTGAATGTCCCCACAGCTGCTGCAGCCTTATCTGCAGGCTGCAGCTTGGTTACCAAGAGGGAGGCCCGAGTGCCTGTGCTCAAGCACCTCCCTTGCAGGGCTCTTACAGTAAAAGGAAGTGTATTGCAAGAGGGGCTGCAGTGGGGATGGGCAGTTCCACCAGGCAAATCCTGTGTGCACAACCCTTGCTGCCCTCCCCACTGCAGACACTTGGCCTGCTCTCTCTGCCAACGTGTAGATTTGACGCCTGTGTCCGGAGCTGGTCAGAGTAATTCAGCATCCCTGGGACTTTCTCCTCTGCTCCGCGGTGCCCAGTGACCATTTGGGGAGGTAGGGAAAGGTGATGCTGCCGTGGTTCTCTCAGGTGGGTCTCAGGGACTCATCAGAGGAGTGTGTGTGATGAGGCATGGGCTGGTGGGGCTGCAGATGTGTGGCAACCAGGGGTGGGAGGAGAGTGGGGTAAGTTGAGGTGTGAGCTGCAGCAATAAGGAGGCAACAGAGCACAGGTAAGGAGCTGGGGACACCCCTTGGGGGGTTGAGGAAACAGGGCAGGACCTGCGAGTGGTGGAGGTTGGGGTGGGTATGAAGAAGAGCACACTTGTGGGGATACAGAACCCAGCTGCCACGTGAAGGATGTGGGGAAGGTGAAGTGGTGTGCATCTGGGTTCAGGCAGTGTGGATGGCTACAGGGTGTCAGGGTACAGAAGGAGCTGGCTTGGTAAGGAGCAAAGACGGGGCTGTGGATGCCTGGGGCTGTATACAGTGGTGAACAGAGAAGAGAGGTGAGAGCAGAGGTGGGAGCAAAAGGGATCCCATCACCTGCTGATTTCTGTGCTGTCTTCTCCTGGCTCAGAAAGCGTCACCCCACTGCCAGAGCTCCCTGTCAGAGGCTCCTATTTATGTACCCAGCTAGTGGTGCTGGAGAACGGGCTGGGCTGTTCGTGCTGCACATGTAGATCAGGCTTCCCATGGTGCACTGCCCAGGACAGGGAGCTGACAGGATGGGAGTTACTGTGATTGCCTTGCCACTGGAATTGAGTTAAACAGGTTGGAATAGGGTTTGCAGGGCTTCTGATAACACCAACCCCAGGATGTTATTCCTCCTCTTGGGAGATCAAGTAAAAAGGACTATTACTGCTAACATTTGTGCATTACTTAGAATGGTGAGGGCCTAGTCCAGCTTGGACCTGGGGGATGCCTCCCTTGGACAAATACCCTTATCGAACTTGAGACGTGGCAGCATGTTGGTGCCCTGGTCATGGCCAGAGACCTCAGGTGTCATGCAAGCACAGAGCAGAAGTGGCCCCTTTGCCAAGACCCACTTGCCTTCTCACAGCCATCCTGTAACTGTCGACATAGGCATGTGACTTTGTAATCACCAACGGTGGAAAATTTTCCATTGCTTGCAGTTGGCATCAAGGTCTGGCCTGGAGCAGCCAGTCTGCACGGTCACCCAGTGGCCAGGGTCCCTGTCCCTCAGGCCACCGCCCCTGGAGAGGGACAAGAGGACTGGAAGGGAGCTGGCCGACATGTCCCTGTGCCTGGGTGGCCAGGGGCTCACTTTCACTGCAGGTACTTTCTTTGTTGCCTCAGGGTGACAGCTGAGGCCACTGTGGTGCTGCAAGGCCAGCACCCTGGGGCTCCCCAAGGCTGGCAGGTGCGGTGCCGGCTGCACCTTCCCCTGCGGACGATGGTGCACGGCAGCTACACCAAGGTGAAAGGACGCAGCTTTTTATGAGGCAGAGCCAGCCCGGAGGAATTCGCTGCTTGTGGACAGCTGTTGTCCTGGGCCTGGCTTGTGTCCTCCAGCACTTCCCACTCGGCCCTTCCTCGGGGAGGGGAATGGGAGCTGCCTACCCTCCAGACTCCCTGTGCCAGGCGAGTGAGTGGGTGCCACCTCCGGCTCGCGGGGCTGAATAGCCGCGGTGGAGCCCAGCAGCATCCTGCTGCCTCTGCAGGGATCCTCTTGGGCAGCGGAGAGTTTTCCCCACCCCCAGCTCTGCCGCTGCCTCTTTGTTTTCTGGCAGAAGCCTCTGTGCCTTTTCATTGCCGTTGAGGCGCCGAGCAGGAGCCTACATGTGCCGTGTGCGCGTCTCGCCGGGAATGTGATGCGGGCTGGGAAGCCTGCCGGGCCAGGCATCTCCCCTGCAGGGCTGCGGAGGCCAGACGGCAGCTTCGGGGTCTCCTTCCCATGGACTGTTCCTCCGGTCGAGCAAGGCTCCGAGGCCGCTAGTCTTCTTCACAAAACCCTGTTTCGCGTTGGCAGCGCTTCTGCACCTTGCCACAAGTAGAGTAAGTTGGATGGGAAAGGGCCGGTCCTCAGCTGGGCTCTGCTGGGCACTCGTGCTCTCCGCTGTGGTCCTCCCTCGCTCCCGCTGGGAAGGCACCTGAGATTAGAGCAGCGCCAGGAGCTCTGGAGCTGGATACAGCGGTGGCTGAGGATTGCTTGTGCTGCGCCTCTCTCCGTGTATTTGATCTCTCGACTTCCAGCAGGGACTGAATTCCTGTGCTGGATTCTGGGCTCGGCTCTTGTGAAAGGATCCAATTATTTCAGAGCTTTGAGCATCTCCATTTGCTGCCCATATTTGCGGCGCCCGGGTCTGTGCTGGCTGGAATTCCAAGTGATTAACGTGGCTGTGACATCCCTCCTAGGGGTGTTATCTTTGCTCGCTGTCCCCCATCGCCCCCCTCTTCCTCCTCCGGCAGCGAGCGAGCGAGACAGGCAGGCAGAGACAAAGGTCTGTCCTCAACCTGGGCTGTCCTCCCTGTAAGCGGCTGCTGCATGGGATTTCCCTGCCCTGCCTGCTGCAGGTTTCCTGGGCTCCCGGTCGAACGCTGGAGCTGGGCAGCCGTGGGGCTGTATTGCTGAGGTTTGAGCCTGCTGGGCTGGGTGGGCAGGGGGTGCTGCCGGCTTTGGAGAGCTGCCTGATTGTCCTGCCGGATTTTAAGCTGCTTTTCATTCTTTGACTGTGCTTTCCTGGGAAGAGGGGCAGCCGTGCATGGAGGGGAGGCTGGCGGGGAGAGGTTGGACGTGGGGGGAAAGCTATACACAGGTGGCCGTCGCATAATGGGATCTGCCTGCAGACCCTGTGAGCCCCCCTTCCCAGTTGCCGGCTATTGTCAGCATCGCTGGCTGCACGAGAGGCACCTGGGCAAGGTGTGCAGAGGCGATCCATGCCACGACGTGGGGCATCGGAGGGAGAAGGGGTAAGTCCCTGGGCTGGGAGCTCTGCTCCGGCTCCCCCACCTCCCAGGAGAGGTTTCATTGTGTTATCCCGACTTAGCCGAGCAGAAGGGCTCAGTCCCTGCGGCACCTGTGTGTGGGGCTGGAGAGGCGTCGCATGTTGCTGGGCAGACCTCAGCCCCTCGGGAGCCTGCTGCAGCCTGGACCCCCAGCAAAGTGCCCTGCAGAGCGGGCTGCTCTGTCCCCAGGGGCTTCTGCACCCCAGTCAGTGCCCCCTCCTACGGGATGGGAGGGAGGAAGGGCAGCAGCAGCACCTCACGAACGCCGTGCTGCGGGCAGAGGGAGGTGTCGGATCTGCCTCTGTAGAAGCTGGTGGTTTCCAGGAGCTCGCACTCCTAACATAGGCACTGCCTCTTGCCCAATCCTTCCCCTCTGGGCTCGGGCTTCCCCTCCATTACTAGCAGGGGCCAGCACTGAGTGAGGCTCTGCAGCTGCATAAATCTGGCATGGCAGGAGGCCTCCTGAGGACCCCCAAGAGCAGCACTTGCCCTTGCAGTGGGACAAGGATGCTCCCTCCCTCTGCATCCTCTCTCCCTCCCTCCCCTCGTCCCTCCCCCTTGTTTCCACCAAGTGTGAGCTCCTTCAACCCCAACCTGAACTCCGGGATAGTGCCAGAGCCATGGCTACTGTGCCTTCAGGCACAGTTTACTCCTCTAGCATCTCTCTAGCCAGCTTCTCCCCAGGATTGCCACCTCTCCTGTGGACAGTGCTGGAGGTAGTCTGTCTCTCTCCTGGTGGTGATACGCCTGATCTGTCATGCTGTGCAGAAACCCTTCTCCAGTGGCAGCATTACTGCTAGTGCTGCCATCCCTCAGGGTTGTGACGGAAACTTTCTGCCTGCTGGCACTTTGCAAGCTCTGCTCTAGACTGTGCCAGGGAGCTCCTGTGTTTGCACTTGCACTGGTTAGATTTCCTCCCTTCTCCCTGGGTTCAGATAGGACCAATGGAGCTGTGATTTATCCTCCAGACAGTCTGTTTCCAGCAGTTTCCGTTGCCTCTTCTCTTGCCTTGTGCTCTGCGCATTCTTAGAATGACTATATGCCCTCTTGTAATGACAGCCCTTCTACTTCCTGGCTGTGTGGTTCCTGCTTCACCCCCAATGAGGCTGCAAATGTCTCCTTACCACTTCTCAGGAGACGAAGCAGGAGAGAGGAAGGCAGTAAAAGCCAATTAGGGGTTGGTTTGGGGTTTTTTTCTGGTCTAAATGATGGAAGGACTCCTTTTGGCTCTGCCAGCCCCCGAGCATGGTGCTCTGCCCCAGCTAGCAGTGCCCAGGCCAAAACCTCTTGTCCGCTAGCCATGTGTCCCCTTGACTGGCTGGCAGTGCTGGTCTGGGAAGCCACATGGATCCCCACTGGACAAGCATGGCCCCTTCAGGCACAGCTCTAGCTTTCTTCCTTGCACCAGTGCTAAGCTGCCAGCCCTGCCAAGCTCCCCTTTCCAAGGGCTCTGCAGATCCTGCCCCATGACAGACACCTCCCTGGCTGGCAGAGCTGCCCTGCACCCATCCCACCTCATTTCTGACTGGCACAGTACAGCTGAAACAGCAACAGTCCTTTTGCAGGCTGCAGGCATGTGGTACAGCTGCTGCATCGCCCAGACAGGGACCCTTCCTCACCCACCATCCTGCACTGTTGCCACCAGGCTGAGACCATGGTCTGTTAATCCTGGGTTCCCCCTGGATGTGCTAATAGGAATGGAACCAGCAGGTAAGCCAAGTCTCATGACCCTCTCTGTGTCATTCTGTGTCAGGATCTAGTGGCTTGGTGTCCCCAAGGAACAGAGTGTTTCTGTCCCAGTGCCTGGGACACACTCCTTCCCTGCAGGTGTTTTGGCACTGGGTGTTTCTTGGCTGTTGAAGCATGGTGCCCTTCCCCAGGCAAAGGAATAGAGGAAAGCTGTGCCTGGCATAGCTCCAGATCCAGGTGCTGGGAGATCCTGGCAAAAGCACAGGGCCCCTCCTGTCTTCTGAGCACTGAGGGGGCCTGGGAGCCTGGCAAGAGCAGGGCAGAGAGTGGGAGGAGCTCTGGCTGGGCTTCCCTCAAGAGGCAAAGCCCTTTAAGTCATATTTGAGAGTCAGACCACCAGCACAGGCTAAAACACTGGCAAAATCAGCATTACTTGGGCTTGAGGGGGCCAAACCCTTGGCTTGGGCATGTGGAGTCCCATGTACTGCATCCAGGGGATGGTACCTGTGCTGGACCTGGACCTGGCTCTGTCCCATCCGTGTGACCAGAAGGGGGGCTCTGGCAATGCCTGGCTCAAGGGGAGGAAAAGGGAGAGATGATCAGGTGCTTTCTCCTTGTTGTCCCTGCTTGGAATGCAAGAGTCCCTGGTCCTGGCGTTGTTGTCTTGCTCTGTGGGGAGGTGGTGGGCTCCCCAGTGGGTGCTCTCAGAGGCTGAGCCCTACCGAGAGCTGGCTGGAAGTGCCCTGGGAGGCAGAGCTAAACACAGATAAGAGAACCTCCCCTGGACACGGTGCCTTGCATCTTGAAGAGGGTGCAAAGCAATGCTGTGCTCCAGCTGCTCTCCATCCCAGGCTGATGGGCACTTCTCCAGGGGGATGTACAAGAAGATCCCAGGGTGTAATTGAAGACACTTTTGGGTGGGCTGAGGAATTCTGGCATTTTCCAACACGATACTTCAGGTAACAGTATCTGGGCTGGCAAAACACAGTGCAGCCCCCTTTGTGTTCTAGGTCTCTGCTGGGGTGGGTGTGTGGTGTCAGCAGGTCAGCCTCTCCTGATGGATCCATTCTCCTGAAAGGCAGCTGCTGTTGGGGAGCAAATGGCTGTGACTTTGGAGGGGCGTGGGAAGGAGAAAGAAAGGATTCAGGTGAAACTGTATTTGTTCTGGCAGGGACACACACTTTCTCCCACTGCACCACGATGATTCTTGCTGTTGGTTGCTGATTTTCCTTCCCAGTGGTTGACTGTGCCACGCAAGTCACGGTAAAAGTCTCCCCCAGAGATGGAGGAGGGAAACAGCAACCTTCAAGGCAGGCAGAGCACAGCATGTTACCACCTCAGCATCCACCAGCAAATGAGGGCATTTACTTGCTTTCCTACATGCTTTGGTGCAGGCCTCATGTGGGGTGCAGGAGCTGGTCTTTGCAAAAAGCTTCTGTTGAGGTTTTGGACCCGAGGTTTATTATGCTGCAGCATTGATTTGCCCAACTGCAAGTGCCCCCTGGCTGCTGGTGCATTTTATCTCAGCAAGTCCTGTTCTGACTGGTTGCTGGCAGTGCCCTTCCCCACTACTGCTGACAGTGGCTTTTGGGCTGTCCGAGTCTGAGGGACTGGCCCTGGCAGCCTGTAATTACAAATCTTATTGGAAACATAATGAAAGAACAGCCTGTTTCCTGGGGCAGGTGAGGTCAGGCGGTGAGCACAGTGCTGAAGCTGCCTTCCCACCTGCAAGATGGTGGGATGCAGAACTTGCCAGACCAGGGTGCCAGAAGGGGTTTGCACTTGAATGTTGGTGCCTCTGAACATCCATTTGAGGTTTTTCTTCATTTGCCTGGCCGTGCTGTTTCCAGCTTTCAGAGCAGTGCTTGCTGCTGACATGGGATGCCCAGATGGTGACTTCCCTCTGGATGGCTGCTGCAGTGAGCCCCCATTTGAGGGATGCATGTGGAGGGAAGTCGGGAGGGCAGGCACCTTTTCTTCCTTCATCTGGAGGTTCCTGGGCTGGTAAAGCCCGTGAGCTGCCCTTCCACAGAGGTGCTGAGGGTGGAGGTGTCCTAGGGCTCCTGCCCACTCTGAAGATGTTGCGATATGAGCTGCTGCCTGGGCTGACTCTCCTCTCTGCCCTCTTTCAGGCATCAAAGCTGCAGTGCCGGTGGATTATGACTGCAGGGGAGCTGTGTTGCATCTGCAAATCTCAGCTGTGCATCAAGGGCACATCTGAGCAGGTGAGTGCTGTGCACATGAAAGGACTGCTGTCTTTGTGCTGGGGAAAGCTGGTGGGGGGTCATCATGGCTCAGGGCTGTCAGGCTCCTTGTTTCTGCCTTTCCTGACTGTCATCTCTTATTGGAAGAAAACAATTCCAAGCCCTTCTCCTTATCTGTAGGGCCTGAAATGTCCTGTGCTGTGGGTGGAAGGGGGAGGAGGTGAACATGAGACCAGGAGCTAGCTGGAGGCCCAGGGGTTGCTGCAGTGTCTTGTAAAGCAAGGCATGAAATGGTCGCCAGAAAGAAAGAGGAATCTGTTCATATGCACAGGGTTTCATACAGGAAGGCATGCAAAGGGGATGTAAAATACAATCCAGGTATGAGAGTTCACAGCTTAGCTTAAAGTACTTGTGGTTTAAATGTCAGTCAGGGTGATAGCACTGCCTGAGATGGCTGAGATGTATGTGGCCTTTGGTTTGGGTGGTTGGGAAAGGCTGAGGCTAAAAGCTGCCTTCCCTGGCTGTGTGACCCTGCAGAGGGGCAGTACCCTCCTGCCCTACTCCTGGAAAGCATCTGAACTACTGCAGGCCTGCATCTTCCACTTTCCATCCCCCCAGAGCCCCTGTGGACACTGAAGAGCTGGAGAGGACGTTGCAGAGGCTCGGAGGCACACCGTGATGGTGGGAGCCATTCCACGGCAGCCACGGCGCTTCTGGGGGGTGCCTGACTGGCAGGTGTCTTCAGCTGGTTGTGCCAACGACCGCCTGCTGTGGGACAGGGAAGTTAATCCGGAGATAAGCAGGGTTCTGCTGCAAAGGGGTGAGTGCGGGGGGCAGCCAGGGCAGGCTGCACTGGTGTGGGCTACACAGAGGGGTTGAGGTTGGCAGGGACATCTGGAGGGTGTCTGATCCAACCCTGCTGCTCAAGCAGGGCCACCTAGACCCATTGCCCAAGGTTGTATCCAGATGACTTCTGAATATCTCCAAGGATGAAGACTCCACTACCTCTCTAGGCAACTGTTTACAGTGCTCAGTCACCCTCAAAGTAACAAAAAAAATTGTGTTTCCTGATGTTCAGAGGGAACCTCTTATAGATATAGATATAGATATATAGATATAGATATAGATATAGATATATAGATATAGATATATAGATATAGATATAGATATAGATATAGATATAGATATAGATATAGATATAGATATAGATATAGATATAGATATAGATATAGATAGATATAGAGATAGAGATAGAGATAGATATATAGATATAGATATAGATATAGATATAGATATAGATATAGATATAGATATAGATATAGATATAGATAGATAAGATCCCCCTAAGCCTTCTCTTCTCCAAACTGAACAGTCCCATCTCTCCCAGCTTTCCTCACAGGACAGATGCTCCAGTCCCTTAATTTTTTCTTGGTGTCCCTTTGCTGCACTCTCAGGTGACTTCACCAGTGCTGAGCAGAGACAAAGGATCAGTTCCCTTGACCTGGTGGCAATGCTGTGCCTAATGCAGCCCTGGACACTGGTTTTTCTTTGCTGCAAGGGCACATTGCTGGCTCACGGTCAGCTTGGTGTCCACCAAGACCCCCAGGGCCTTTTCTGCTGAGCTGCTTTCCAACCAGTCAGCCCTCAGCATATCTTGATGCATTCCTTTTATCATTCCTTTTAAATAAAGTTCCTGGGCTCAACCATCCTGGCCTGCCACTTTCCCATCCCCATTGTGGCAGGGTCAAAATACCACATGCAGCCTTGCTCTCCAGATAGCCTTGATTCACCTGCAGAACCAATTTCCCTAGTGCTCACTTGCCCCTAAACCCTTGTTCCACATCAGGCAGAGCTGCCAGGCGTGGGCAGTTTGTCTTCAGTCTGCTGGTGACTTTTCCTGCATCTCCTCAGCTCTTGCAGCCATTTTAGTATTTATCATGCCAGAACTGAAAAACTCCTGGACAGGATTCTCACAGCTCTCAAGCTGGGCTGAACCAAAAGCGAGGTGCCATGCAGCATGGAGGAGGTCAGGCCCTTGGGGCTGGCAGGAGTGGGTGGATGGTGACCCTAGTACCACCCAGATGCTGATTTAGGTGGTGGAGGTGCCTGGTCCAAGCTGGCGGAGGTAAGGGGGATGCTAGGCCAGGTTCCTGTCCCTCCTGTGGGGCTGGCAGTGTAGGGCACCAGGTTGTCTTGGCCAGCACTGGGAGATCTTGTTGCTGTTGCCCAAAGGGGATTACAGGCCTGAGTCCCTCTGGGACTGGTCTGACCTGCCTGACTCCTGTGCTCCAGAGCAGCACAAGCACGTCAAGTCCCTGGCAGAGGGCAGGCCTCTTCCTCCCCACTTGTCCAGACTTGTCCCCAGTAGTCTCCTGCCTGGCTGGAGACTTCTCTCCTTGCCCAGGCTGGGAAGGAAGTGCTGAACCTGCAGGTGGGTGATGCCTCAGGGTTCCCCAGAAAGCAAAACCAGCCTAATTCCTCTTCCTGTCCCTGGAGCGGGAGGTTCAAGTGGGGCTGTGTGAGGGTGGGGCTAAGTTTCTTGCAGTCAGAAGTCTGAATGAGGGTGGGAATCCCGGGCTGATCTCCATCCTCCTACGCTTCTTTTTTCAGATGCTGTGCTGCAGACCACTCCATAGTGGAGGGCTCAAACAGAGATCCTGAGCAAGGGGGGTCCAGCTTCCACCCCCTGCCCTTGCACCCTGACCTGTGGCACTTTACAGTCCCACTCCTGCTGCTGCATGGGCTGCTCTGACTCCGGCTCCGCTCGGAGTCCAGGCAAGTGAGGCTCCATGCGGCACATCCACACAGAGACGTCCCTGCCCCCGGAGCACAGCACAGACCCCAGCCTGTCCCGGCCCAGCGGAGAGGCGCCCTTGGAGCCCTCCTCGCAGCGCTGCACCCACCGCAGCATCCTCATGGGCTACAACGAGACAGAGATCAAGCGCCAGAAGGTTTACCAGGTCTCCATCTTCTCCCATCTCTCCAGCTCCTCTGAGAGCACGGAGCAGCGGGCAGGCAGCCAGCCGGCTGTCAAAAGGGGATACCCTGAGCAGCGAACTCTGGAGGGGGGGCGAGATCCCAAACGAACTCACTGGGGTGACAGGGGGGTGGAGAGCAAGCGCGATGGGGGCCCTGGGCAGCCTTCCCTGGACGATGACGATTCCTTTGAGGATGGTCTGCTGGTGGAGGAGTTATCCCTGTGCGGCTCTGCCCAGCACTTCTCCCACAGCGGGCTGCGTGTGGTGGAGCACCGCTGTGAGGGCAGCCCCAGCCACAGCCCCAAAGCCAGCAGAGAGGACAAGTCACAGTATGTCTCCTCGTCCTCCTCCTCCTCCTCCTCCTCCTCCTCCTCCTGGCCCCAGCACATTGCTTGCAGTACTTTGCACATGAGAGACAGTTGCTCTGTCTCATCGGGGGATCATCCCACAGACTATGGAGAAAATGGGGAGCCAGCAAGTGGCCACAATGTACTTCACCTTGAATTGCACAGTATTGCACAAACAACCCAGTTGGACTCTGGTGGGAAGAGAGAGAAGCCAGCCAGCAGCCCAGCTCACAGCAGCAGGGCTGGTGGAGAAGATGAAGGGTCAGTGGTAGGCAATGGGTGCAAAGAGCCCCCAGCTCCACAGACAGCGCTCAGTCCTGAGCCCAGCAACCTGAGCTTCCAGGAGACAACACCCTGTGGGAGCAGCCACTTCAGCAGCAGCTGCCCAGCCAAAAGGAAGTTGCTGCCTGCTGGTGAGGTTGCGGCCGACTCCTGCTCTGAGGATGAGAGCCTGTCCCCACCGGCAAGGAAGAAGAGGGTCCTGCCATGCCACCCTGTCCCCACAGCGTGCCGCAGCACTGATGCCAAGGGGGCCCCTTTCTGGAATCACCTGCTTCCTGCTGCCAAGGTGAGCATTGCTCATGAGGGGAGGCAGGGAATGGCCTGGGGATACCCGGAGCTCACGACTGTCCTTGTGGGCAATGTAGTCCACTGTGCCCTGTACTGTCCTAGTGCTGCAGCACTGGTGTGAGCAAGGCAGGAGCTGACAGACAGCCCCAGGACACATGGTATGTTTCAACCAGCTATAGTCACTGGATTCTCTGCTTGCAACCAGCTTTCTGTCCCGGAGAGCCTTGCTTGGACAGGAGACAACATCCCCATGGCAGTGAGAGCTGGACACATGGCATGGGGCCACATGTGGTGTCTGATGGCTTCATGTTAAGCTGGATATACCAGCAAGCTTGGGAAAAGCATCTGGCCTCTGCCTGCCTGATGAGCAGGAAGGCAGATGAACTCCTGGCCATGATATCCATTAGAGCAAGGGTTTGGTGGCAGGGAGTGGGACTGGACATGCTCTGACCTAGGGGCCCAGCGTTGTGCGCACAGATGTCACTGGCTTTTCTGCAGCTTTTGGCATGTCCTCAGGGTGCCACAAGCTCTCAGGAATGGGATAGACTCCCAATGTTTGCAACTACCCTGCCAGCTCAGGAGCTGCCTGCGATTTTTCCCTTCTTATTGTGCCCTTCTGACCAGCTCCCTGCCCTCTCCCTGTCCTGCCAGCTGAAGCTGCAGCAGGCTCATGCCATACCTGGCATGCTCTTCTCTTTACCCGGGGCATCCCATGGTGCAGGGATCTGCAGGAACTGATGGCAGAGGCACCCTGGCTTCTTGCTGCTTGGAGCTGGGACACGCCATCCAAGGTGCGCAGCTGCATTCCTGCATGCCTTTTTCATGACTGTCCCCCAGCCCAGCTGTCCCCAGCACTGTCCTTGCAGAGTGAAGCCCTCCAGCAGCTTCCCTGGGTTTTCCCACCCGGTCATGCCAGCCAGCTCCATCATCCCTTTGTGTTGTGCTGCCCTTTGTGTGGCTTCCAGAAGGGAAAACCCCTGAAAAGGGGACGTCTTTAAAAGGAGGCTGCAGTGTAGCTCTGGCTTTAACCCCCCACCTGTAGCTGTAGGATCCTGGCTGTGGGCAAGGGTGGGCATCAAGCCCCTTTGCCCAGTGACACTGCTGAGGACTTTGCATGAATCACCAGGGGACTGAACTTCTCCCAGGCTGGTCGGGGAGTTTCCTTGTACGTGTCACTGGTCCCTGGGAGGTTCAAGGGGGTGTTGGTTCATGGCTATGGCTGGGGGTGTCTTGTCACTGGGGCTGGTCCTGAGACCTGCTTTGCAAGGTGGGAATTGTGTGCTGCACCCTCAGTTGGCTACCAACACCCTCATCCCCAGCTGAGTCACTCTGGGATTTGGGCAGCCCCACATCCCCACCAGACACCCCAGTCCTCATGCTGCCCTGCTGGCTACCCCTGCAGAGGCTTATGATGGCTCTTCATGGACAGGAGCCAGTTCCATCTGCTGGGGCCCTTGTGGGGCTGTGGGGCAGAGCAAGGGGTGCATGGTCCCTGATCGCTGCCCTAACACAGTTCTCCATTTCGTGTCCCCTCCAGAGTTCTGCAGATTGCACTGCAGTCGGGAGGAGGCTGAAGAGCGGGCTGCGCCTCAAATCGTGAGTGTCCTGGCAGCCCTGTGGGATGGAGGTGGGGGCTCAGGGTGCCTGGCCACCCCTGCACCCTGCAGCCCCACGGGAGATTCAGGTTGGGTTGAGTCCTCTTCCCTGCCCTGCCCTGCCCTGCCACAGGCATCTCTCCTCCACAAGACCCCAGGCTGTGGGGCATTGGGGGGTTTCTTCAGCACCTGGGGAGTAGTAAAGTGGGTTCAACCCCCAGCAAAGAAAGGGATGGGAGATCTGGAGAGGGATCCACATTCCCAGGGACATGGACAGCCTAGGGCTGCATGCTCTCCAATCCAACACCAATCTTCTCTCTCCAAGGCGACATCTCCGGAGCAGCCTCCGGAGGGGCACCAGGTCTCCCACAGCACCCTGGGCCACCACCACTGTCAGCCATGCTCTGCTGGGCAACTTTGAGGTAATAGAGCCCACCTGACAGGGGGAGGTGGGTCTTGGGGATTCCTGGCTGGACTGGCGATGGGTGTGAGAGGCTGATGGGAACCTGGCTGAGGGGCTGGGCTGATGGAAGCCTGGATTTGGGGCTGGGCTGATTGTCCCCAAAGGGCATGGCATGCAGTGGCCATCACACAGCCACCAGCCACCATCAAGATGGCTCAGCCAGATCCTTGGGGAAGGCAAAAAAACTGGATCCTGCTGAGGTGGCTGCTGTGAGGCTGAGCCAAGGCACTCTTGCTGCTTCACTGTGTTAGATGGCTGGTTTTATCCCAGTTCAGGGTGGGTCTCTGTCAGAGCCAGGGCCCCTCATGGGTGGTCTTTGGACATGTGAGGGCAAGTCAGATAGGTGGGTGCAGCGGAGGTGGGGGTGATCTCACCTGGAGCTTTGAGGCAGGGGGAAGGACTGGTGTTTGAAGCTCCCTAAAGCTTTCCTCCCCTCTCAGGAGTCCATCCTGAAAGGGCGCTTTGCCCCGTCGGGGAGGATCGAGGGTTTCACAGCCGAGATTGGTGCCAGCGGCTCCTACTGCCCCCAGCACGTCACCCTGCCCGTTGACGTCACCTACTTCGACATCTCTGAACACAGCGTGCCCTCACCTTTCCTGGTGCGTGGATGAGGGAGGGCTGGCGCTGTAGGGGAGGGTGAGTGGGACTGTACCCTGGCACCTGGGGCACCCTGGGCACCCCTGTGGAAAGTGTGGCTCAAGCAACCACCTACCCGTGCAGATGACTGGCTGTGCTAGGAGCAGTCTTGAACCCAAAAAGCAAAGAGGGAAATAAAGAGGGCACATGCACAGGCAGGTCGCTGCCCCGATGCCTCGTGGTTGTGGCTTCACTATCACCTCCTCTCTGTTGCTGCTTGTTCATTCCCTGGTTTGGAGAGGAACTGAGCTGAGCGACTTCATGCTGACTTGTGCCAGGTGTTCCCAGCAAAGGGGGGGTGGGTCTCAGCCGCGTGGTGGGTCCCAGCTGGGCTCTCCCTGGGCTTTCTCCCTCTCTCACATGCTGTTCCTTTTGCTCCAGGGAGTGATTGACTTGGAGGCCTTGGGAAAGAAGGGTTACAGTGTCCCCAAAGCTGGAACCATCCAAGTGGTGAGTCATTCTCTGCCCTCCAGTAGCACCTTGGGGACAGGGCTGGGTGGGCTCTGGTTGTCCCCCATTGGGCTGGGTATGCACCATTATGTTGTTAGGCAAGGCAGCAGCCAAAAAGCTTGTGCAGAGGGGGTACAAGGCCACCAACACAGCACAGCAGAGTGGAGCATGAGGTCCTGGGGGTAGAAGGTGGTGGGAGATGCAGGGAAGGAAGAGAGTGGTGAGGAGGGATGGGGTTTTGGCAAAAGAGTGTGTACATGCAGTGGGGATGGGATGGGATGGGATGTGTGGAGGTGGGTGGAAAGGACTGACCTGTGACCCCCAGGCTAAACCCTCTGGGGCTGGTGTGGGGCTTTCTGCATCCTTGGGTTGGCTGCTTCTGCTCCCAGATGCCCTACGCCTTCCATACAGATCCATCTGTGTGCCCTTCTCAGTCTCACTCCCTACCCCTCTACCCCCAGACCTTATTTAACCCCAACAAGACTGTGGTGAAGATGTTCTTGGTGACATACGACTTCCAGGACATGCCAGCCAACCACATGACCTTCCTACGCCATCGCATCTTCCTGGTGCCCGTGGGGGAGGAGGAGGGGGCCACCGTGGCCTCCAGCGACCCACTGGGCACCAGCCCACCCCGCAGGGTCCTCTGCTACCTGATGCATCTGAGGTAAAGCACCTGCCCCAGGGTCACCCCTGGGTTCCTCTCCAATGTGTCCCAAGCCTGCTGGCCAGGAGGAAAGGTGGCAGCCTGACCCTGTCACCCTGGGGAGGAGCAGGGACTGCCTGCTCCTCCGGGATGGTTGCAGCTGCCACCCTGCCCAAGGGCAGCTGTCTCTGTCCCTCCTGAAGGCAACCAGAGCGTAGCCACCTTGACCAGGGGCCAGAATAGTCAAGGGGGTTGTGACGCTCACTGAGGCTGCCCTGCCCTTGCCTGGGAGCCTGAGGTCCCTCAGCCCTGCTCTTGTCTCTGTGCAGGTTTCACAGCTCCAAGTCGGGGAAGATCTACCTTCACGACGACATCCGGCTGCTTTTCTCCCGCAAGTCAATTGAGGTGGATTCGGGGATCCCCTACGAACTGAAATCCTTCACAGAGATGCCCAGGAACCCCTGCTACTCGCCCCGGGCCTGACTTTCCTCACCCCCCAGGGCTGCTGGGGAGCCTCCAGCCCAGCACTCTGGGGAGAGATGAGTAACAGGCCAGCAAGCAAACACTGCTTTGAAACATCGCCCATCCTCCTGACCAGCACGGACACCACGCCCTGCAGCAGGGCTGGGATCATCCAGGGGGCTTCACCCAGAGGGGCAGGGGCTGAGAAGCAGGCCTGGCACCGCAGGGACATGCCCAAGCCTTCTGCTGGTGCTGCTCCCAGCTTGGAGACTTGTCTGTGGCTGAGGTGGGTGGGAAGTGAAGAGTTGGGCCCAGGCTCTGGGTAAGACTACCCACATTGGCCCTGGGGATGGGAGCAGAAAGTGTGGAAGGGTTTGTATTTATTAGTATTTATTGTTGCTGGGAGCGCAGAAGAGGCTCGTGCATAGGACCTGAGATGCTGTGCTTGTTCTTCCCCCTGACCCTACCAGTGCAGGGTTGCCCCTTTTGGGGCAGGTCTGTGGGGACTGGGAGGGTCACTGGGGAAGGCAAAGTGACCCACCTCTTGGCCTGGGTGCAGCTCCCAGGCCAGGGCTGTGTTAAAAGACTGGGAGAGGCTGGGCCTTGCTGGGCACCAGCTCTGCAGGGCCAGCCCCACTCCAAGCAATCCTCTGACTCCTTTAGGGCAAGGCAGACCCCATGGGGTCAGTGGCAGTCAGGGAAGTGGCCATTGCCCTGGTTCCTAAGGCTCAGAGACACGGCTGTCACGTGGATGGGGACCTGGGGCTCTTTGCAGAAGCATTGGGGATAGCCCTCTCTGGGCAAGAGCCTCCAGAGCACGTGCACCGCGGATCTGAGAAGATTGCCAAAAACAAGGAGCCTTGCACCATTTGCAGGTGTGGGGTGAATCCCAACCAGGAGGCAGCTTTGGGCAGGGGTGTGCCGGCAGCACCATCAGGGGCTGGAGGATGGGCAGGACCTCAGTCCCTCGGGTGAGGGGAAGCAACAGGGACATCAAACTCTGGGCCCTCAGGAGGGGGTCTGGGGGTGACCCCAGAGCAACACTGGGAGTGCTCCCCAGTAGGAGCACTCTGGGAAGCTGCAGGCCAAGCCCAGGGAGGTGAGGGGGGCAGGGGTGAGAGGGTGAAACAAACTGGAACATGCCTCGTCTGTATCACCTCTCTTCCTGAGGTCTCTGCAAGGCTCCCCAAGCCCCAGACACGTCCCCCCACCGGCTACCTCGGGCCCCCCTGGATTCCCGTTGTTTCCCACGGATCCCAGGCCGGGGCATGGGGATGGGCCGGGACAAGGGGAGGCCTGGGAGGAGGTCCTGCTCTCCTCTGCCCGAGGGCAGCCGAGGGGACTCCGGCCCTGCTGGGCTGGGAGGAGGGTGGGGGCCTGAACCCCCTCACACACGCAGCGGGGGCTGAACCTCCCTCTCCCTGGGGGCTGCTCGCCCCACACCCAGGGCCCTGAACCCACCAAACACCCGGGGCCTGAACCCTCCACACCAAGGGACTGAGCCCCCCCAAACACCAGGGGACTGAACCCCCTAACATCGGGGGCCGCTTCTCCCCCGCCCTGGGCACCGGGGGCCGCCATGACACCGGGGTCTCTCTCGCCCTCACGACATCGGGGCTGCCCCTTTCGCCGCGGGGTCGCGAAGGCCGTGCCGGTACTTTTTCCTGTTCGTTTCTATTTTAATAAACGCCCGTTTGGAGCCCGAGAACAAGCCCGGTGCTGCCGCTGCTGAGGGAATGGTTCGGGGAGGAGGGAGGCGGAACTGCGTGCGGGCGGAACGTGAGAGCGCGGGCGGCGGGGCCGGTCCGGGCAGCGCACCCGGAAGCGGCGCGGCGCGGGGGCCTGGTGGGGGTGCGGGAGCGGCGGCGGCGCCGAGCGGGGCGGGAGGAGCCGAGCGGGAGATGCTGTCGCGGGCGGGGCTGCGGGCCCGGGCCGGCCTCGGGCTGCTGCAGGTGCGGGGAGTGGCGGGAGAAGGGGGGGTGACGGGGGTGCCCACGTGGGGAGTGCCCGGGTGCTGGAGGGGCCGAGGGCGGGGGGACGTGTGAGGAGGTCTGGGTTGGGGGCGCCGGGCTGAAGAGTCAGGGGGGTGTTGAGGGCCTGAGGGGTGGGGGGGGCTGGGAGGGGGGAAGCTGGGCGAGGGTAGGGGGGCGAGGGCAAGGGGGGTGCACGGGATAGACGGGTGTGGGGGGCTGAGGAGACAGGGGGTCGGTGGGGGGTGTTGGGGGTCCCGTGAAGTGCTGGGGGCGTGGGGGGTCTGTGGGGGTAGCTGGGCAGGGATGAGAGAAGGGGAGGGTTCCGGGGATCGCAGAGGACAGGAGATATTGAGGGAGGCTCAGTGGGGTGGTACTGGGGGCTCGGGGAAGTGCTGGGGGCGTGGGGGCATCTGCGGAGGAGCTGGGGAGGGATGGGGGTGAGGGGCGAGGGGTGCAGAGGAGGGCTGGGGGAGTATTGGGGGTCGGATCGTGCTGGAGAGCTGGCCAGGGATATAGGGATATAGGGTAAGGAGGTGAGGAGGGTGGTGCAGAGTGCAAATGGGTGTACGGGGACTGAGGAGTTGGGGTGTCAGTGGGTGGTGGTGGGGGTTTGGGGGAGAGCTGGACAGGGGAGGGGGTGTGGGGAAGGGGGTGCAAAGGACAAGTGGGTACAGGAGGACTGAGGGGAGTGGGTCAGTGGGGGGTGTTGGGGGTCTGGGAAGTGCTTGGGTGGTGATGGGATGCTTAGCAGGGATAGGGGAAGGGGGTGCAGGAAGGGATGTAGAGGACAGATGGGTATGGGGGGACTGGGATGGCATCAGTGGGGTGGTATTGGGGGTCCAGGGAAGTGCTGGGAGCATGGGGGCTGGGGAGGGGGGAGCTGGGCAGGGATGGGGGTGTGGAGTTTCAGGGGGGTGCAAAGGATAAACAGATATGGGAGGTTGGGGGGGTCAATGGGGGGCTTGGGGGGTCTGGGAAAGTGCTGGGGGGGGGGAACTGGGCAGGGATGGGGATAAAGAGCATGTGTGGGGTTTAGTGGGCATGACCAGGCATAGGGAGTGGTGAGGGAGGGCTGAGATGTTGTGGGAGAAATGGACGTGTGGGGCTGTGGAGGTCTGCGAGCCAGTTTGGGATGTGTGTGGGGGGTTAGAAAGAAGGTTTGGGGGAACCAGGTGTGGGAGGGAGTGAGGGGAGCTGTGGGAGTGAGGGGCTGTGGGTGCCCAGGGAATCCCCAGGGAAAACTTAGAGGGAGTCCAGGAAGCAGCCAGAGCTGGGGAGGGACAGGTTATTGAAGAGGGGTGGCCTGGGACTGAGGCGACGGAGAGGGCTGGGGGGAACAGGCCTCACCAGGTTATAGGGTTGAGTGGGGCAGAAGAGACCCACACACACCCCTTCCTTGCCCTACACATACCTTCCTTGCCCTTATGGTGGCAGGGAGCTTTACTGCCTATTCCAGGGGGAATGTGAGAGGAGAGGAGATGTGCAGGAAGCTCTAGCGTTGGAGTGAGCTTCCCTGCGCTGTGGAGAAGGCTGTCCCTGGGGCCCGGAGCCTCATCCTTGTGGGAACAGCCTGTGTCCCCTTAGAGAATGGGCTTGCTTGGGGCATCAGAGCTCCTTCCTGCCCTGGCGCCCTGGCCACGGTCCCGGATGGGGGAGCAGGTGTGGTCCTGGTCTCAGTCCTGTTCCTTCTCTGTTCCCCAGCACTCCCAGCAGCTGAAGGTTGCGGCACGGCTGGCCCCGGCTCCATGCCGCTGGAACTCTGGGCTGCCCGTCAACATTGGGGTGCTCTTCGTGCCCCAGCAGGAGGCCTGGGTGGTGGAGAGGATGGGCAAGTTCCACCGAATCCTCGAGCCTGTAAGGAGCAGCTTTTCTCCCCTTCTGGATTCAGCAGGTTCCTAAAGCTGTAGCGAAGCGCGTCCTTTGCGTGAGGATCCGAGGGGTGGTGGGCTCATTCTGCCAGACTGAAATCCTCTTGGCTGCCTGTGGACTGATTTCCCTTGGTGGGGTGCTAAAAGCACTCAGAAACTGAAATCCCTTCTGTGTGTGAAGTGTGCTTGCTCTGCCTGCAGCATCTGTAGTGTGTGGCACGGTCTTTGCACAATTCTGTCTGGTTTGACTGTCACCCATCTAATCCTGCCCTCTTCTCAGGGCTTGAACTTCCTCATCCCTCTCCTGGATCGGATTCGTTACGTGCAGAGTCTCAAAGAAATCGTCATTAACGTCCCAGAGCAATCAGCTGTCACACTGGGTGAGGAACAGCTTCCATGTCCTGCCCCTTCCCTTCTGCTGCATCTGGGGTGAGCAAGGAACAGTGTGGGGAGGAGTGGAATTGTCTCAGGCTCGTGCATTCAGCCCCATCCCTTGGAACCCAGAGTTGGCCATAAAATCACAGGATCACAGGATGATTTGGGTTGCAAAGGACCTTGGGTTGTAAAGATCCCCTTGTTCCAACCCCCCTGCCATGGGCAGGAACACCTTCCACTAGACCAGATTGCTCAGGGCCCCGTCCAAACTGGCCTTGAAGACTGCCAGGGATAGGGCATCCACAGCTTCTCTGGGCAACCTCTGTGATGCCTCACCACCCTCACAGTAAATAATTTTTTCCTAATATCTAATCTAAACTGCCCTCCATCAGCTTAAGGCTATTCCCCCTTGTCCTTCCACTCCATAGCCATGTGAAAACTCCCTCTTCAGCTCTCTTGTGTCCCCTTTAGGTGCTGGAAGGCTGCTGCTGTAAGCAGGGGGCACCCCAGGAGGTCCTGCAGCTGCCCCTTGCTGGGTTGAATGCACCTGACCAGGAATACATTTTTCAGATGTCTTCTTTTACTGAACCACAAAAAAACCCTAAAACACCTCTGTAAAAGAGATTTTGGATCAGGTTAATGAATCTAATGTTAATGGACAGAGGTTACATTTCCAGCTTTCAGTGTTTTGTTTAATTTTTTTCCCCCCTTAAATCTTTATTTACAAGAACTACAGTGTGAAATGTTTCTATCTGGAAACCTGAGACTTGTTTTGTATTAAAACATTGTAGTGTTTTTCTAGGGAACATTAAGGTCATTTTTACAAAGTCTTTAGATGAGGAGATCGATTTCAGCCAATCCTTCTTCTGTGCCATGCTGCTATGCCAGGAAGGAAAGGGACAAACCTGCCCAGCTCTGTTGAGGAAGAGAGGGTTGTCCATGTTTTTTCTTTGCTGCTTCAGTAAACAGGAACTGTTGTTCTCTCCTGGCAGATAATGTCACCCTGCAGATCGACGGCGTGCTCTACCTGCGGGTCATGGACCCCTACAAGGTACCATCCCTGCCCTTCAGATACCTCTCTCCTGGTTCTGCCTGCTCCCCAAAATGTGTGCTTCAGCCTCTTTGTACTGCCTGGTGGATGGGTTTGGCACCTTGACCCCTCCCAAGGCTTCGGACTCCATGTTTCTGGCAGGGGTGTTTTTGTCTTGGCACCGTGTTTGTCTCTCCTGCCTCGTTCAGGGTCCCTCTTGGCACCCCTATCCACTCTGTTTTGTGCTTCTGCTCTCCAGGCCAGCTATGGGGTGGAAGATCCTGAGTATGCAGTGACCCAGCTGGCCCAGACCACCATGAGATCTGAACTTGGCAAACTCTCCCTCGACAGAGTCTTCCGGGTGAGCTGGGGAGGTGGATCATGTAGCTCCCAGCGTCTCTGGAAACCGTGGGGCAGCCTGCATGGCTAGGCTGATACACTTAATAGCAAAATGCCCGATGCCCTTTGCTGAGAGGGCTTCTGTTTCAGTTGACCTGTTGGTGAATCTGTGGAGATGGGTCTTGTTTCCATTGTTTTTTTAACAGGAGCTATTTTTTGCCCTGCTCTGGGTTGTTTGGAAGGGGGTGATGGGTGGCATGTGCCCAGACCCGGCTGGTCCACCTGTGTTTCTCTTGAGCCAGTGACTCATTGCTCAGACCCAGTGATGCATGGTTCATGGGGCGCCCTAGTCCTTGTACTGCGTTTGCTGGGCAAAAACCGAAGGTGTTGGCATTCCTGTTGTATCCAGATGTACATTGGATGTTTGTATCCCAGCAGTTTCAGCTGCGGGCCCTGCTCTCCCTAGGAGATGGTGACCCCTTCAAGAGCTGCAGGAAACACCTGATCCTGCCTGATGCCTTTGGAGATGGCTTTTTTCTGGCACATCTTGGCCCGTGGTGGAGGGTGTCTGTTTCCCTCCTGACACCTGTCTCATGCTAAGAACCTCTTCTTTGCTCTCTGTCATTTCCTTTGTGCCTCCCAGGAGCGAGAGTCCCTCAATGCCAGCATTGTGGATGCCATCAACCAAGCTTCAGACTGCTGGGGCATCCGGTGCCTGCGCTACGAGATCAAGGACATCCATGTGCCCCCACGTGTGAAGGAATCCATGCAGATGCAGGTGTGGCTCTCTGGGAGGGAGGTCTGGAACAGGAGGGAAGTCTCCTCTTCCACGCAGCATCATTGTTACCTGTCCGCAGCTGGCATCACAGGCCCTTCCTGTGGTGAGAGGCACTTTGGTTGCAGACATACAGCTACTGGACTGAATAAATAATTCCTGTCCTAAATTTGGCAGTGGTGGCCCCTGCCTGGTACGCCCAATCCTTGCCAGCTCCCTGTAAAATCCCTACTGGGCTCTATAGGGAAGCAAATCCCGGAGCTGAAAGTCTCCTCTTGAGAAAAGCTGAGCACCAGATCTTCAGGCTGGAAGAGAAGGAGGGGGAAGCAGCTGTCCAGTTAGGTGTGGATG